TTATTAATAAAATTAAGACATATACAGACATTGAATATATAAGTATAATAACTAGCGATAATAGTAATAATAAATAGCGATTATTCCTTTCTAAAATTTTCTAATTGTCTCAGAAATATATATACTAAATTACACATTGTTTTTATACTACAAGTACTTACCGTAGCAAATAAAAAAACTGGAATCGCTAGATTAGTCGCTTACTGTTACAATATATTAATTAACATTTCTTAAAACAAAATCATTTCTGGAAAATAAAAACTTTCTTGAAGTTATAGAAATAATTTTCTATAAGACTTTCTCGACAGATTTTACATTGAAAGTTGAAAAATCGCGGAAAGTCATTTAATCAAAAGTTTCTGGGAGTGAGAATCTTCAATTTCACGTGTTGTGTTGCTTTTCTGTCTTTAGAAGCTATTAGTTTCAAGGAAATTAATTGATAATAAGAAAATTGATTTTTCAGTTCATTACTCGTGAAATAAATTCACGAGTAATGAACTGATTATGTATGATATATGAATATGATGATACAGTTGCCTAGTGGTACCTACCAATCTAAATCAAGATTTGATTTAGATTGGAAGGTCGGCAGTTCAAATTTGATGGACACTAAGAAAAAATGTGTTTGTAATATTATATTTCTAATGGTGATAGACAAACCGATAAAATATCTAAATAATCCAAGAGCTAGTAGTAGACTTATAGACTGCCACATTGAAAAGTTTATAAGAGAACATTATTATTGGGGACTTTATCGACATGATAGAACACAAAACAGTGATGTTAGAATGTTGTCTATTTTAAATGCAGTTTTCACTAATCTATTAGCTGTAAGCTCACTTAAAATTTAGTGAAAGTTTCGCTTAAGCTTCACTAAAAATATATTTATTTCTGTTAAAGTAAAAAATAGTGAGATTTAGTTCTTAAACTAATTTGCTATTAGAAGTATTTTTAGGTATCTAACTATACAGTATTGATTGCTATGATCCATATGAAATTAAGAATTTCTGAAACTCTTACGGAAACTGCTCGATTGAAATTGTAGCATGTTCGAGTATCAAGTTAATTTTTATTCCGTGAGATAACAATAAATGATCATTTATGAACTAATAGTACTTCATACTTACATACTTCATTTCATAAGAGTACTATGCTCCGTTTCTGATGCTGTAAGTTATAAAGAAAAGAGAGTCCGCAATTGAATTTTAGAATCACTTAACAAAATGAAGACTTATAAGTAGTTAAAGAACAAATTCCTACATACATAAAATAAAAAATGTTTTACATATTACAGTTAAGAAGGAAAAAGTTACATTGTGCAGTTATCTTAAATGAGAGCCTATGAAATTTTCAGAGGAAAAGTGTGTATGATACAAAAGGGCGGTTATCACGTACGACTGAGCCGCCACGCTGCCGCGTCTTGAGCGGAATCTAAACGGTTTCTAATACGGGCATTCTCATTTCGAAGCCATTTTCAAACATTATCCAGGTTTCGTACCCCATAAAATTGTGTTGTACTTTGACTTTTTAGCACCATTCGCCTTTGGTTCTAGTTAACATCGATTAGGAAAAGAAAGTTTTACATTCTGTAATGGATATTTCAGTAATATATATGTCAGCATATTGATTATTCTTGTATATAATTGCAGGCCTAGTTTGTTAGGATTGATTACTGTAGAGGATGAATTTACATAAGAGAACTTAATATTACATTTACTAGTTCTGTCTATCGCAATGAAAGATAAGAAACTAATAATAATAAAATATGAATGAGAAGCAGTAAATATTATTTTGTCTAATTTAAAAGTTATAAGTATACATATATACAACTTCGGTATAGCTTCATATAAATCATTTTCCATATTTTATATTCAAATTAATACATAAATTATAATAAAGTTTATAATAATAATAATAATCTCAGGACAATTTACACAGCGCCATCTAGACTCAAGTTAAGCTAGCTAAAGCTTGTGTTATGGATACTAGATAACTGATACAAATACATAGATATATTTTTTCGTAAATACAATTGTTTGTGCTGTGCGAGAAATCAAACCCGTGACCATCGGACGTAAAGCGGTGTGCTAGACCGAGTCAATAAATTTATAAATTATATTATCATTTAAAACCATACCTGCATTACAAAAATACAACTACCAATTAAAAAATATATACTTTAAACGCGTGCGAAGGTCAAGGTCACGAGTAATAGTCAAGTAATCTTATTTATTCCTAAAATGAAAATTCTCGAAAAAAATAAAATTCACACACAATCGGTTGGTATAAATATCCATCAATACCCAGTATAAATAAAGGGCAATGGAATTTAAAAAGCGTTTCAAAGGAGGTGCTATTACGTAACCACTTTCTGCACCTCGGGCAGAATTTTTATAGTACGTGCCTTTAGAACCAAAGATTTCATCGAAGGCCAAAATTGAGTATCCTAATCGAGTACTTTTAAACCAAGCCTGATGAATAGACAATTATTATGTACTAGCAAGCTTTTTACGTGCTTCACTATTTAGCTCTGGTTTTTAAAAATAAATAATTTCGTGTACGTTACGTTATAAATCGATAAATATTCAATTTCATGATCCTAAAACTATAAGCTATGGGTTGATGAATCAATTTAGTCTAAACAAAAAGGACCTCTATGTTCCATGCGACCACATGATTCTTACAATAAATGTCGTCTTGATTAGCACTTCTGATAAAATATACTATTTTATATTATGTGATTATTACTTCATCGAACGACGGACATTATTTTCATAAAAACATTATCAATCGTCACGATATTTGTTTAATCTTCAAAATTAATAGCTTAAAAAAAAATTTATTGCCAATATATTGAGCTTACGAATTTTTTGATGTACACGTACGTAAAAAGAAATGTTAGACATTTATAGTATTCACCGCAACCCTCTCGACAAAGTCCAAATGGTATATAAATGTGGATGCTTTTAGTTTATACGATTTTAGTACAACTTTACAAGTACTTATTTCGGCTAAATATGTGAACAGAATGCTTTTATTTATCCTAAATATTTTAATATTTATATCGATATATTAATTATTATTTTGAAATGAAAGAAATTACAAATATAGTAAATATTTGTATCTTTTGTATTCTCGAATCTCACCATGATGTTATATTTTTGGTGTCCGTTATTACTTTTTTTGTTTATTACCAAACTAAAGTCTATGTAAATTGTTGTCTGTTGCTACATATAAGCAGTAATTTATTATTCTCAACGAAATAACATTTTCCTTATAGGTTACAATTTTAACATCAATAAGTAATTAATACACATACCGTACTTAGTAGATATCAATAAAGCTAAAATGTTATTTTTTAAACCATTTTACAAGTTGTGTATGAGAGTTATTCTTTGAATTATCTCTTTTAGAAAATGGAAGAAGTTATACATAAAGAAGCTCTACAGGAATTGCAGAACATGTAGTGTGTTCGTTGTCAGTACGACTAATCAATTCATTTTAGAGTATTTCTTTTATTTTGACATGCTGGTTCTGATACGATAATCAATTATATACGCAACACAATACCTGTACATTTTACCAGTCGATCCTGCTATATTTCTTTATCAAATATCTACATAATTTACCATTTTTTTGTTAAAAATATTTTAAAGTAATGTTCTGGAATAATGAAATTTTCCAAATATAAACCCTCAGCTTATGATATAGGTACACAGAACACAATTATATTAATTAATTAATATAAAAATTGATTTACAGTAGATTATTTCATAAATTGTTACAGATATTTCTTTTCTTAGGTTTGGTTCCTTTAACATAACATTACAGTATGATCGTTGCTCTTAACCCAGGTTTTTCTTATTACCATTCTAATGTCACTTCCCATCTAGAAGGAAACTGATGACGAGCCTCAAGATAAACCCTGGACCCAAACATCAACACGTTTAGTGTCTTTTACAGCGCTTGAAGTAGTAAAATCTTTGGACGGCCCGTAAAAAACCCATAAACTTTATACGAGTAACCCATACATATATAGATATATCTACTGCATTTATGTAATGCTGCACTTTTATGATGCATCCATGATCTGAGTATAATGTGTTTGTATACCGATTACAATAAAGCAAATATTTAATTTTAATTTAAGGATATCGTAAATATTCCAGTCAGAATCAAATCAAACCGGTTAAGCCGTTTCTGAGATTTGTATGTATAGATAAACAGAAAAAAATTGAAACAATCATTGTTCTGAGTTTCATTACAGTGCTAAAAATCCTTAACAATAGTTTTTCTCATATACGTATCTTACACGTAAAGACAGCAATCAGTTGCAATTGTATTGCGTATATACACGTGACTTGGTCCGCGTGGAATTTTATTTTACTTTTCTAAAATAAAAGTAGCCTAATTTCCCTTTATTACATCAGCTACCTGTCGAAAAATCGGTCAAAATTGGTCCAGCCATTTCAGAGAGTAGCCTGAACAAATAGGCAGACAGACAAAATTTGTAAAAAATGTTATTTTGGTGTACCGTATATTATGTATGTATGTATGAAGGTAATAAATTAATACACTGTGGTCGATTTGGTGTGATATATATATAATGAGATATTATTATCTCCTCAGATTTTCATAATGACGGTTACATTTTTGTATGTTGGTCGTAAGTCTTTACTCATATTATAAATGCGAAAGTATATTAGTTTTACTGTTACCTGTTAACGACTAAACAACTAAACGAATATTAATGAAATTTGACGTGAAGATATTTTGTATTTCAAAACGAAATAGTCCTATCTATATCCCTATCATTTATCTAAAAAGTAGACATATAAACACATAAGAGTCTTAGTAATGTATATATACGGCCTGTATGGCATAAATTAATATTTTTAATGTAATGTAATCCTTAGAAATAAATCAGCATAACGCGTTTATCATTAGCAGATAGAAATAATAAACACATATTTAAAAAGAATTTATTTTCTCTCTTCTTTTGCTGCTTATGACATTTAGGTAGACATCAACAATTTGTTAATTATTACATAAAATAGAAGAAAAGTATTGTGCGATTCAGAATATCTTATTAATTTTCTTTAATACAGTCTTATTTTAGAATTATATACATACACAGAATCCATGAATAGAATACACTTAGGCTCTAAGCTGCAGAGATAAATTGAACAAATAACAACCATACATACAAGTAGGTCTGTATCACATTCTTTATAAACTTCAATAGAACACATTTACTGAAGATTATTTATTACTATTATTATGTAATAATACCTTAACGTAAAGACTAAAATAAAAGCTATATTATGCAAATTATTTATTGTATCATACTTATTGCAGAAAATACCAATCGTCATAACTACAAGGAAAAATATTGCTTAATTTTATACTCGTAGGTTCTAAAACCTTGACAATAATTCGGATAGTAAATCATTTGAAATGTACAAAACAATATTTTTGCCATTCTCTGTTAGTGTTTCACAAGTAAAATTTTATTTAAAATTAAAATGACTTTCATACAAAATTAGACCTGAATCTACTGGTCCACATACACTTATTACTATATGATTTTCTATTTGTCCAGCAAATTATGATGCCTCTTTAATATCGCAGTACACTTTCGACTACAAGGTCTATGTTCAGGGGATAAGTTTAAATGAACAACATTCACTGCTTTATCGAATGTCACTCTCGGAAGTCATCGTGTCAGCGTCACTTCTGTATCACTCGAGCTTCTTGAACTCTCTTTGATTACGTCAAGTTCTCTATTAGATAACGAAGAATTACGGGAAAATTTATGAGAAGCACTATAATCACTTTTATCTTCACAATTTTCACGCACACTTCCATTATAGTCTTTGTTATTATCAGAGTCCTCTTCAACATCATTAACTTCGACTTGTAACAAATTGTCGTTATCTTTCAAACCGTATCCATTGAAATTTCTCTCATAGCTAAGACTTCTAATTCTATCAAGATTTTGTTCCAGATTTTGCAAATCATCATCGACTCCTTGCGAGTCATCGAATTTCCATTTAATATTAGAATTAAAGTGCTCTACTCCTGGATACAAGCCTATACTATTACTTCTGTGCCCGAAGACCGGACAGTTCCGGAATTCTCACAACTCTGAATGCCGACCGTTACAAGCTTTATTGAAGTTTCCTTCATCTAAACTTAAATTAGACCGCGAACGGCCACATTCGAAGCCCGGACTAGGTCTAAATAAACAGAAATCTGAATTCTTCAATCTACATTGTCGTGAACAGGGTTCAATTTGAAAAGTAGACCTATCCAAATGTCTGTAATCTGTAATTCCATAATTGTCAAAATATCTTGGATCTTGTTTACATGTGCTGCTTGAGCATCCTTTAAATGACCCAGTGCACCGGAGTGGATCCCGTTGACAAGCTTTTTGGATAGCATGTAAGGAAGTTGAAGAAACAGTGCGTTCTAATATCTCTCCCCAATATTTTTCCCCGAGACCTTCAAACTCTCCCTTCGAATGCAAATCAGACGTAACTGGTGATCCACAGCAACCTGTTGGCTTTTCATAGCTTGGAAAAGATTTACTTCGTCTGCAACAAACCTATGAAAATTGAAATATTGATTATTTTAATATTATACCAAAAGTTATTTGACTAATATTGTTTATCATAATTTTATAGGCAAAGAGGTTCCTCGACGAGAGTTATAAAGTAATTTGCTTCGAAATCGTGAGATAATTGAAGTTTAATCTCTTTTGTTTTCCATTTAGAATTCAGTAGAATATGATCTTTGGGAGTGTACTTACATAGTATTGTAGGAGATCATTGCTAATTCTTCTAAAGTGGCTATTGAGAAGCCAGTACAGAAAAGGATTCCAAAAACTGTTGCTCAATGCTAACCAAGTGACGATGAAATCCAAAGAGGGTGGTACCTGTATATGGAAAATAGTGAAATATTTATATTTACATAAAATTGTTAAAACCAGGCGATGCGGAAATCGGTTTGTGTGTTAAGTTTCATGTAATAGCGGGTGAAGGATTTAGGACATTTTTTATAGAATTCTAATTCTGTTCTTTAGCGATTCTCTATTATAGACTAAAGAAAAACTAAAAATATCTCATAGAGGAGTAAAATAATCCATTTTGAGAAGATTATCGGTAAGCCAAGTACTATTTTATTAATTTAAATATTCTGTTAATTCAATAATAGACTATGTTAATAAATCTCTTAATGTTTTATTGACATTTGACATTTATCATTAATAAATAGAACTTGCACACGAAATCGCAGGTACCGCTAGTTGTAATATAAATAATTTATGTAAGTGGCACTATGTAATGTATCTCGATTATGTGTATGTAATATGTATTTTTTTTACAACAGGTAATATAAAAGAAGTGCACGTATCGCAATATACTATTAGTTTGTTATTGATGACATCATTTGTCGATAGTTTGATAGATATAGATAATATATGTTGTAATCTAGTATCATTTTCTATAATAAAAATAAGTTTGTAAAATACTTTCCGCGAATGGTAATTTTTACGATTCTATGTAGTATAGAATCATAAATATTAGAGATTTTTAATATTAATTTTGCTTGACGAAAGAAACTTCAGTCATAAACCATAAAATGTTATGTTTATACCTTACAGCCGGTACATGCCGCAACGACTTCCTGGATGGTGGCCGGGGTTACCATAACGATGAATCCTAAGGACATGGCTGCCATAGTACGTGATGTACTCACGCTATGTGGTCGCACTGGTACTGGTATATGCTGTTTAAAAATTGAAAGATGTTATCAGTTCAATAACGGTTAACCATTATGAGTATTTTTTTTAGTGTGAATTCATTTTTCAGGAGTATGAAATAAATTATTTGAAAGGTCGAGATATTAGTCTCTCGCATATGTTTTTCATTATGTTTCGTCATGATTGTGAGATATGGTAGACCAAATTACGTTTAGAGGCATATTTCGATAATGTTTATAATTATCAATACTACTTAATTCCTATGGGTATTAGAGTACTAGTGATTATAGTTTGTAATATCTAAAATAATGTTATTACATATAAGTAGAATCAATTAATAGGGCGTGGTGACGATCTAGGTAACTTATATTTAGATTTTTATAGAGTCCACTTTTTCATGAAATATAAAATTGACTTTATAATCAATAAGTACAGTATTATAAACACAAAATATCGGTTGCATTATTGACATTGCGTGTATGCCATAGTATGTAGTTAGAGATATTTAAACGAGCAATAGAACGTCGCGTCGCCCGTCTCGATAACATTTCAAGCCAGTACCTAGCTTTACTTGTTCGGCTACAGCATATGCTCAGCATTGTTGTTTGTTTTTGATCCACGATATTGATATCAATTTTTATAAGCAAGAAATTAAGTTGTACTTACTACTATATCATGGTCGCCACGAGAGTTCTTATTACAAGGCACTGGTACACCATTGGATCTGGTAGAATCCTGGTCACATTTGCTTCTGTTCTTGCTGACATGGAAGCCCGATCCGTAGCAGTACATGAGTGCCATTGTAGTTGGAAAGTAGTAGGCACAACAAGAGAGTATTCTGAAAGTAATGTTTACTATTTGAATTTAAGTATACAATTTTTAATCTGTATAATATTGTAACAGATATTAGGTATGTAAACAGATAATTAATATATACTCGTACGTATAAAATTATGCATAATTATGTGTAAGTATACCTAAATAAAGGTTTCTGAGAAATATATTGAAATATTAATAGTAATTCGTATTACAAATTTAAATTACATTCTCAAGTAATACAATTGTAACAGTTTTAAACAACTTTTCGGTAACATAACAGACAAGTCGATGATTATGAAACCGCCCAATTCCGTAGAGAGTAATAATAAAAGTTTTAATGAGCTCATAAAATTATGGTTAGAACTAATGCCAAGTTGAGTTCTGACTAATTGATTTGTAGATGTTGATTAGTGTTTGCTTATCTATGTTATATCTACTTAATTAGGTTACCTGTGATTAAATCAGCGTTTATAAAAAAAGTTTCAGCCTAAAGTGTGTTATTGTGATAAATCTATATATCTAATATTAAAGTTTTTTTATTTTATTTATTTGTGTACATGACTGACATTTGGATGGCTCATGCATTTAATAAACTTTGTATTTATTAATTTAAGTTCTAATATTATATATTACTTTTCTATTATTATTGATTTACAGGTAATTTATAAATTTTGTGCAACCAATCCTTGACTTCGAGTTATTTTTTTTATTTAATTTTATATATCAATTGTCGATTGCGATTGCGATTGTGCGATGACCGAAATACTAGAACTACTTACATACATTCTATATCTACGAAACATAATATTATATAAATGCGAGTACAATGGTTACAATAATAGAAAATATTGTTGTATATTTTCATTTTGATAATAATCAGCTCACATGTCTGTACTCACTTATATGGCCGCTGCGCTAAAAATCGTTCCATATGTAAGTTAATCCAGTTTTATCAACTAAATATATATAAAAAATTTACATGCGAATGGGCGTAAACAAGGAGATAGCTAGCTTCCAAGTCATGTTGTCTGCTATGAATTATTAATTTGTATAAAATAATAATATGTATTAATTTAATATAATATTACGGTAGATTAAACTGTACCTGAATGCAACTCTGCTGTGGAATACATCACAAGCCATCAATCCCGTAGAGTTGAAATAATACCCAGATCGAGGAAGAACCATTATTGCAAATAGTGAAACAGATAGGATCCACGTTATACTTATGACTAAAACGCAGCCCTGAAATAAAACAGTTATATTATATTACATTTAATATAACTACTAATTAATAAAATACTGAATCTAAGCATAGACAGCGTCCCTTGTAGGGTAAGTTAAGATACTAATAATCTTTAACCGATGTAAGACGTATGTAACTATTAAAATGTAATATTTTCTTCGAATTTTAATAATAATATTAATCTTTATTTGTCTCAAACAAAAACTAATACAACTGTTCGCCATACATTAATATAATTTAAAACTAATGAATGAGACAAAACAGGTCTATAACACAGTGAGGGCAGTGAGTCCACCCTCTCTGCTATTCTGTTATAGCCTTTATCAGTAAAATAATACAATATGAGATCGACGACGACGATAGCATATTAAGTTAAGTTTATAAAATTTTATTAATACTATTAAATCAATTACTTATTTAGAAAAGCTACGTTGTAGCAAATTTCAAAGTACCCAATTATTTACTTTATTTGTTTTACGCCACAAGCCTTAAACTTGTTCAAAACTGAACTGCGTATCCAAAGAGAAGAAAATTTAAACAGAATTTCGTAAAGAACCATCCTTGTTAAATTCTTCGAGAATAATTACATAGGTAATTGTTAGGATTTAGTATGGTATACATAAGTTTCCGAATAATCAACGCAATAAACACGGTAATAAATGACAAAGCTTAGTTATGTAAGTCAGATTTGAATATCAAAACTTTATAAGTAGCTCAAAGAGATACTCCAAGAGAAAGGTGTTATCAAGTACGCAAAGCCTTCTTTGAACGCAACCTCGGATTTACAGAATCCTAAACTCTTGAATGTGTGAATACGACTTCAATATTTAATTAACTTTATGAACCCTTTGTTTTGCTGCAATCTTGTCAAAAGGTCTCTGAGACATTCATTGAAGCTGTGAGGTAAACAAATTATAAATATATTTGGTAAGAACAAATTTTAAATTCTCTGAAAGTTTAGTATATTTATATTTGAATATTGAAATATTTGTTTCTACTTAAAAATATAAATGTATTTTAATTACTTTAGATTTTACATATTTTGAATTAAGGTAAACTTGTACTTCATGGCCTGCTATCTAGAGATATCATTCGATTGTAATCATATTTTGAGCAATTGTGTAATTATTTCTATTTTCTAGTTTGGAAATTCGTGGATCAGATGAATATGATTCATATTTATAATATCGTCAATATTTCATAAAAATAAAATGTTTGTATGTCTCACCTTTTTGCTCGAATGTTTGTGATAAGTGTTAGGATGTAGTAAATACAAATATCTATCGATTGCCATACACACTAAAATAACAGCACTTTGTTGACTTACTGCTCCTCGTAAAAGTGCCTGAAAGATATAGATAGATACAGCATAGTATAAAGAAGTGAATCATTTTCAAACTTAGCAACGGGTATAAGCGTAGTGACTCGTGACCGGAGGACAATCTCGTTTCATAAGCGATAGGGATTGAAATACTTACAAAGCGATTACAAAAGATTAAACTACGACTACGGTGACTTATTAACTACTACCAACTCTGAAATTTCTCTGAGAGATTCAGATTTTAACTTGAATATCCGGTCGACTTAAATTAGTCTTTGATGGCTATATACACATATAACTTTTACAGCATCCTATACAATCATATTTTATGAAGCCCATCGTAACATAATATAACATGACATAAACATGACAAAAGAATTGTTAACACGGTGATAAATAAGTTACGATAGTTACTTATTTAACAAAACCTAGTTTTTTTCTGAATTTAAATAAACATTTCTTAATATTTGTGATTAAGAAATCGTCGGTGTGTGTCAACTGTCTAGATTTACTCGTGCAGTCAAACGTGTGTAGATACATGCTGATTATAACGGTGATTATGACAATATTCTGAAGTGACCTTGGTCCATGAAATGAAACAAAGAGAATTTCCTGAAAGTGACGGAATTACGATTCAGCGAGCTAAGCGGTAGGCAGATGGCCCAAGTAACAAAGCCAAAACTTCCAAGATCCAAGACTTTATGCCCGGTCACTATACCATTAACAACCGAGCATTATACGTTACCAAAGTGGAAGTTTTAGCAATTTTATTGTTTGCAGACCGCCGCGTCAGTATATCTAACAATTACTCTTTTAAATTGCAAATTGTTCCCGCTTCAAAAGCTTCTCTACAATGTAGATTATTTTCATCGCTTGATGTTTTCTTAAATGCTGTCATTATAGATATTTCTAGTCATCACGTGTAATTTATTTTTGCTTTCCATGCATTCGAAGCGAAGTCTCATAAAATTACTTTGAAAGAACTTTTCGATTTATATTTCTGAGGTCAAATTTAATAGGTCAAAAACATGATGAAAACGAGTGCTACCGTCGAGTATTTCTCCATAATATCCGATTACCTTTAACTTTGCGTCTCCAATTGAGAACTTTTTTCTCGTAAAACAACTTTACTCATTTTCTCTCAGTCTCTTGTTTAAATAAAGTTTAGCAAGTCTTCGTAGCCTCGCTTACCTATTTCTAACTAGATTAAATAACTCCCTTGAGATTTAGATGGAAAATTAATATTCTATTTTTATTTTGTTTTAATCTTTTATAACATCAATTTTCCATTTAATTTTATTGTAAACTTAACTAATGAATTTAGTAACATTGGTACAAATTTTATTTCACACGTCATAACAAAAAAGTTGAAATTATAGTTTTAACTTAATTTCTATATATGTATACCTGTATCTGACAAAAGATCTCCCCGTATGGCCAACACTTGTAGAGAGCGGGCAAAAGAGCCACCGGAGCAATCAAGATACCCGTGAACAAGTCGTTGAGAGCTAATGAAGTCAGAAGATACCTAGGCTGTTAGAAAATAGAGTTTAAATTCAAAATTTTACGCATTTATTAATGTTGTATAATCTGTAGTTCTTATAAGCAAGCTATTTATAAGTATCTTATTCATTGATAAGTTAAATTAAATATGAGTATATTATAATGTTTTATTAATATTTTAAGAAGCCAATTCATATTATTAAAATAAGTATTTTTATTTTCTAATCTAAAGTTATTTTACCTGATTATCTATATATTTGATATAACGTCGATTATTCAATACACAAATTAGCACTAAATTGCCAAATACTATAGCCATTGACATTGCAAATATAAAGAAGGCTTTCAGAATGTCTGCTGGCGCTGGAAATGTAGAAGGCCAGCCTTTACCGTGTTGCCAGCAAGAACTATTAAAAAGAGATGGCGCTATGAGCAATGCGCCTTTAGTCGAGTCGAACATAGTCGGCGCCTGCAAATAGCAGCGCAATCTCCTCTTGAATTAGGCATTTAGATCATAAATGTTGTAACTGCTTTTAGTTCTTCCAGACTTCTTTTCGTTACTTCAGTATAGTTAAAATTTGTCAACTTAAGCACACCATTTTGTTTTATTTTTCTCAGATTTAAATATTATATTTTCCGTGATGTTCAGATATACTTGATGGTGACTTATATCCCAGTTGCTTGGACTTCATTATAATTCACCTGAAACAAATAAAGTTGCATTAAAGGCGGAAATATTAATACCTGTAATTTAATAGGACTTTCCTGTAGCAAACGTAATTAAATTAATTTCCACTTTCTAATTGATAAAATGGCACGAAGTGCCTTCGCTTCCATTTAGTAATCGCCATGTCAAATATTGGCAACTTGGTACGGTTTGTGTCTTTGATCAAAGGAAGGTTTGTAATTTTGTTGTAGTTAATCAAATACAACATATCTCATTGCGAGTTTTGTTATACTACGATGGTGATAAATAATAAAATTATAATAGACAATATTGTAATTTAATATTAAAGTTGTATATAGTTGTGTAGATTACAATAATAATAATATAATCTCCTTGGATAATTCAAACAGCGCCATCTAGTTCCGAGTTAAGCTGAGCTAGTGTTATGGGCACTAGACTGCTGATATAAATACATACATAATATACATAGAAACACCCAGACCGATACAAACAATCATATTTATGAATCATATATATGTATACCGGTGCGAGGAATCGAACGCGCGACCGTCGGACGTTAAGCGGTGTGTTAAACGACTAGACCTCCGAGACCGTCAAATATGCATTACTAGCTCTCCAAAGTAGATTTTTTAAAAAGTCATCTATGTATATACCTCAGTCTCATCTGTTTCAGCCGCCAAGCAGCATGCTTTGTATGTTGGGTTTAGGTTAAAAGGCGACATAAGGTAGTAACATCTTAGTACTCCAGAGTGGCAATATTTGTGTCGTACCACATGATAACTTTATTGTCTGTAATGATTCATGTGTAATGTCTCAAATAATTCATGTGCGTATATACACGCATAAACAGCATTATGCGACGGTTGCCACTTAATACACTTATTACCTTTCCAAATAAAATAAAAAACGAAGAAAATCGTTACATACATTACGAATGAAGTATTAATGATTGACTGCTATTTCATTTTTCACAAACATTATGATATATGATGTAAACCTACTTGTAAATGATTCAAAAATGTCCAATAGATTTTAAATTAGGCAAGTAATAAACATAAGTCCAGTTTAAATTTACTCATAGCAAGATTCCCTTTACAAGAATAGTGTGTCACAAATTGTAAGTGGACATAAAATATTCTTGTTGCGTTGCAAAAAGAAAACAGGGAAAAGCCGGAAATGATTCTGAGTCGTGGATACTGAATCAATTTCACTTCCTTCGTTGCCAGGATTAACTTGATAAATGGTGCTATTCTGACTCCTTAATATTTTAGAAAATATTTTTATAAGATCAAAAATAGAAGCAAAATATTACGCAGAGCATATTTTGGTATACTCTTATTTGTAATTGCTGTAAATAATACAGATATTATAAGAAAGTTATCGTATATAAATAATAATCGAAATAGACACAATATTTTTTATTTATGCGGTTACTATTTACACGTAAGCAGTGGGTTGACGATAAATTACAGCCAGGTATTTTCTTCTAGAAAATATTTGTTTATTGCTACTATTGCAACTCGCTCAATAGTCACTCCAACCAAATAGATTAGGTAAGTCTTTAATAAACTTTGATTTAGGAATATTTTAAACTAATTTTACAGGCATATAATGGTAACTTATTCGTGATGCTAGTTATAATCAGCATGTGTTGTAAATCACTACTTAGTTTTAGGGTGTTATACCTCCATACCCTGTAATTTTACTACAAATCGGAACATAACTTGCTAAGCGAGAAGGTTGGTTATAGAAATAAGTTCGACAGAGGTACCCACGTAGATGACTTTCTAACTTGACTTTGTTTTTTGTTATGCGTACTTCTTTGTTTTCGCATGTTTAACAAAGTAAACATCCACTAAAAATCACTTTGCCGAAATTCTAGCAGTAAACATCTAGTACAAAATAAACAGATCTTGAAAGGCAAAACTATAGTAAAGTAGCATAAATAAACTGTGCAAATACATTATAAAGTTAAGACTCTGGTCCGTTTGTTATATATGTTGCATATTTGAAAATGGTAGATACTTAAAAAATATCAATATTTGTCTAAATAAGATTACATCAATTAATGAAACAACAACACCCGTACATAATAATTAGATGATTTGTAATAATAAAAATAAATAATATTACATAAAGAAGATTAACTTTAATATAAGCTAATCATAGATTAATATGGGAAACACCTGAGCCAACCTAAAGCCTTGAAATTGAATTTTTACGGTATAATATGATTTCGTGTCGTTTTCATATACACAGCTTATTTTGTATAGATAAAAGTCATCTCGATTTTTAATAAACTTCAGAAAGGATTACGATTTCCATTTGATGGTATTTGTTATACACTGCAGATAGAGTAATTAGTCACCATTGATATTACAATACAATTTGCATGGAATAATTTTGTCGAAGAAATTTTAATTTTATGTATTTTAATATTAATTTACACGACAATTTTATTACACGATCAAACTTCATTGTCTTATTCAACAGATGTAGACGATATAGCCAATATAGATATAGAATATGTACCTAAAAACTAATTTTATTCTATAAGAAAGATAGAACATTCATCTATATGTAAATTTTAAGTTATTTATAGGTGAGAGTCAGTAATAATCTGTCAACTTTCATGCCAGTGGTTTGGCCGATAGGCGCCTATTTCCTGTACTTCTGAAGAAAAATCAACTAGTTATGTACTCTTCTAATATCGTCTACTTCACTTACTATTCTATTTTATTATATGTACATTTTACATGAGAGCATTAATGCAACTGATCAAATTATTGGCGTAGCGACGTGTCGCCATGTTAGACTACATAGATAGATGAAATGTGTAATTAATAGTATGAATTATTAGTGTGGTGTGGGATTGTTAGTAACGGAAACTAGTAGCCAAATTTCTAATAATAAACCATGTCATGTAGACCTCTAAATAGTCCTTTAATAGAGTAGAAACCATCGTGGTTAATTCTTAGTCAATCCATCACGATGAGGTTGAACGAACTGACTTGAATTCATGATCATTCTATCATCCCGCACTGTTGGCCATCCAACGCATACCATTAACCATTGATATGAATCCGCGGCATATGCAAGTGACAAGTGTGAGATTGCTCGACATCTGCTAGGCGAGCCGTGACGGCTCCTTTTTGTTTTATTAGCTTACCCGCACAACATCGTCTAATTCATATTTTCCCTGTTTTTGCTACAATTATTATTGATGATCTGCTCTATTATTAACACCATGGGCAGTATAATACTAAAAAAAAAAGAAAATTTGTTTCTGATGTATTCTTGTTCAAACAAACAGATTTTTTAAAATAGTAAAGATTTTATTATAAAATATGTTGTTAAATGTGTTTCAACATAGGATCGATAAAACCTACATAAAAGCTCCGAAAAAGATGTAAAATAATGTCAATACGCCACCTAATATTTCGTTAATTACTTAATAAATAACATTATAGACGACTATATATTAATAATTTAGTTACTGTTGTCGTTTAAATAATTTCAATAGATGGCGTCTAGAAATTTACACACATGCAAAGTTGTGGGCGCTCCTAGAAAAAAAAAATATATCTACTAATATTGTTATATCCTTTAAATGATACAGTGAAAATAATAAATGGAAATCTGAGATAAAAAAAGCATTATATGAGGTGTGAGAGTACGTGCGTGACTGAACATAGGTCACTAAGAATCCACGCTGGAATATATTTCTCGGTACTTTGCCGATTGGAGAAGGCATCAATTTCCTTCAGGAAATAGCGTTCCATATCGAGAGTTAACTAGTAAGTATCTCCCACTTGTATAATATTATTCTTTATTCACCTATCTGATTTCCATAACCAAAACAATTTTATACAATATAACATGTATATTACTTTTTAATATATATTTAGGGGTTGAGCCTTATTGTGATAAAATGATTATGATAAAGTTGTTCGTCTACGGGATGTTTAAAAAAAAGATACGTCCCATTATGTGTTCAATTAATCTTGATTATTATTATTATTCTTTCTCTTTATTAAAATTATAGATGTGGCGTGAGTTTCCGCATGGTTATAATGTTATATAAGCGTATTATATTAACGTATACTAAAAATTTAATTGGAAGAAAAATAAATGATGCTACTCACTACTATACTACTCAATACTATAGGAAAAAGCTAGTAAATAATATATATAGTATTCAATAAACCCTCATAATTTTATGGTGTTTTGTACTTCAGAACGGTAAAGTAACAATACATTACTCATATTCCATGTTCAGATTAATATAACACGTGTAGATATATAGTAATCGTAAAAATAAGTTATGCCACATTTAGGCCTTGCAGTAAATCGTAAAAATAACTAGGTGTTTTAAAAATGTTTAAAAAAGGAAAGAATAAGTAATAGTGATAGTTTCAATATCTTTGTTTGGCTTCACAATTTGTTCGCCCTACTCGCATACACTCGTAATATAATCGCGAAAGCTGACATCTCGAACGCCAGTGACACGGAAACATCCTCCTTTTGGTTCGACGGCAACCACCAAATATCAAACATTATTTTGGCTCTCATTGTCGGGGATTTGTATATCACTGCTCTGTCGGGTTCTTGTGTAATACGAATAATATTTGGATCTTCGTTTGTTTGCATTTACACAACGACGTTTTCAATGTTATCATGAAATTTATGCTTGTTTAGTGTACAATCAAACTAACTACTGTACTATCCTGTGCAGAATATTTAAATACGATTTTTTATATTCTTTACAATATCATATTATTATTATGTATAGTATCAGAAATTTGATATATATGACTAATAAGTATAAATAAGTAAAAAATAATTAACTAACTACTTGTTAAAATTTAGACATTTAATATAAATGTATAAACATAGAAGTTTTGGTACTACTACTAATACGACTGTATTATAGCTAGGTAATGAGAAGATTTATCTTTGTTTTTGTTTTATTAAAAAAATAAAAAAAAAAACACAAAAATATTGTATCACTGAT